CCAAAATCTCAAAGGGAAGAAGAGATGGAGAAGGGATTATGCCATGAACATTTCCGCAGGGAGCGCTTTCTCACTTTCTCTCTCTTTCTCTGGTGAGCACATGTGCCCTCTGACAAATTTAAAAATAAATAAAAGGAAATAAAATAAAATAAAAGGGGCAAGCCAGGGGACCAGCAGATGGCATAGCGGTTACATGGTTGGACTCCCACATGGTTGACCGCAGTTCAAGTACCGGATGTGGTGATCTGAAAATCGTGCTGGGTGTGTGTGTGAATGCCCAAGATCCCAGGAGAAAAATGGAAGAGGAGGGATTATGAAATGGCTATCCCACTCTAGGGGGCTGATTTCTCACTTCCCCTCTGTCTCTGTCTCTCCCTCTCTCTCTCTCTCTCCAGCAAGCTCACGTGCCCTAAGATAAAAGTCTCTCAAAAAAAAGAAAAGAAAGAGAAGAAGAAGAAAAAGGAAAAGCAAAAGGGGCCAGCCAGTAGCATGGTGGTTAAGGTGGCTGGATCCCACATGGCCATCTGTGCAGTCGTCTGAGTCCCAGACATGGCCACCTGAAAAATACACAGGCTGGGACCAGCAGTTAGTGTAATGGCTATGTCACTGGACTCCCATGTAGTCGATGGCGGTTCAAGTCCCAGACCCGGTGGCTTAAACTCACATCGGGCACATGTGCGTGCATGCCCAAGATCCTGAGAGGAGAAGGGAGGAGAAGGGATTGCGGCATGGCCATTCCCCCTGGGGGGTGATTTCTCACTTTCTGTCTCTCTGTCTCTCTGATGAGTGCACACGTACTATAGCAAAACCCTCTCAAAAAAAAAAAAAATACACAGGCCATGTGTGCATGTGTGCCCCCAAATCCCAAAAGGGGGCAGAAAAGAGTTTGGTGCAACCATTCTCCATAGGCAGTCTTTCTCACTTTCTCTTTCTGTCTCTGTCTTTCTCTCTCTGGTGATAGCACATGCCCTCTAAAAATTTTAAAATAAAAGAAAACTTAATTCTCAATGTGACAGTGTGAGGGATGGGAGGGCTCTGGTTCTGTTATGCCATTAATTGTGAGCGTGAGTGGGTTACTGTGGGAGTGGGTTCCCAGTGAAAGGCCATGCTCATGTGTCCCTCCACCTTCTGCCACATGATGGACACATCACCAGACGCCCTCACCAGATTCCAACACCTTGATATTGGGCTTCTCAGTCTCCAGAACTGTGAGAAATACACTTCTTTTCTGTATACACCATCCAGTCTGTGGTATTCTGTTACAGCAGCAGAAAATGGGCTAAGATATATATCTAAATATTATGTTTAAACTATTTTTAAATTATTTAAAATTTTTTTTTTCGTCAATGAAAATATTGTAAAGGGACAGCTCGTGTCAGAAGGATAGGTCAAGAGGTGTTTGCTTCCTTCTGATCAGGTGTGGGAACCACTGCTTAGAAGCCTTTGGTTATAGAAAAGAAGCACAAGGAGAAACATGGGAGAAGCATGTTAAGTCACTCTTGGAGGCCGTCTCAACAGTGGCTCTGCCCTGTCGCCCAGAAATCCAGTGTATTAATGAATCGAAGGATGTGTGGCAAGCCCAGCTCTGCAATTGGGACACGGCCCTGGCACACCTCCTGCTGACATGTGCCACTCCTGGAATACTGGGCCACTCCACCCTTAAACTAACTTCTGGCTGAACTAGGGGTATCCTGGCTCCAGCAGAAGAGAGGTACAGTCCTGGTTTTCACACTTGAACTTTTGGTTCAAGAGCAAAAGCCAAAAAAATGCAGCCTATCTGAAGCAACAGCCAGGACATTGATGCTGCCAGGCAATTCCTGGCTTGCTGGACCACCGCCTCCTACTTTCTGGACCAAGAGGATACACCAGAGACCAACCTCCTATGATTCAGACCTTGCTGACAAATCACTGATCCAGCCAGATTGCTGCTTCTGCTGAAGTTACTACCTGGTAATGAGCTACACACTTTGCAAAGTGCAGTAATACTTTTAGGCTAGCAAAATATTGAAGAAATATATGCAGTATTTGTTGAATAATGATGGCCTTGGTAATTAGAAGCACTGCAGGGAAGTGGGATTTTTATTTTTGATTCATAACTGCTCTAACAAGTTTAAAACATCATATAATAAATTTCTGATGACACATGATTCATCATATCACCGTTGTAATTTTAGCGTGGTAGTGTTATTTTTTCTACACAGAAGGGCTAAGTGTACAGAATTTAAAATGCTATGTTAAGACCAAATGTTGCTTGGTAATCTTAATCTATACTGATTAAGAGTAAGTCTTAATCTTTGCCAGCAAGTGGTATGAGATTAAAGTGGTGGATCCCATGTGGCCAACTGAGTGGTTTGAGTCCCAGACCGTGGCTTGAAAATCACACTGGGTGTATAAGCATGCATGCTCAAAATTCTGAGAGGAGAATTGGCGGAGAAGGGATTGTGGTATGGCCATTCCTCTTGGGGGATGATTTCTCACTTTCTTTTCTCTCTCTCTCTCTCTCTCTCTCTCTCTCTCTGGGTAGCACATGCAACCACCCTATAGCAAACAACAACAACAAAAGAATAAGTGTTACTCTGTATGGGAGAAGTTGACTCTGACCTGATGCAAAAAAACATAGTACAATGTAAAATAGTAAAGATGAAAAAAATCTGAGGATACCAAGACAATCATAGTAAAAGTTCCTACAACAATGAAGATTATCTCAAAGCTGTGCTTCTGGAACTGGCAATAGGACAAATAATTTTTCATTTTATTTCTATAAAATAATACAGTAATGCTACTTGGTATTTAATTGGCAACATTGCTTTCTCAAAAAGTTTTTTATTTTTTAAAGTTATTTATTTTATTCATTATAGAGAATGTGCACGTGCATGAGAGAGAGAGGAGCACCTTTGATCTTGGGCATGTGCTCACAAACCAGTGTGTGTCAGGTTGACTGGGCATGGGATCAGAACCTATAGTTGGCCATATGACTGCCAGCACTGCAGTTCAGTGTACTACTGACTGCACCAACAAGGTTGGGTGGATACGTGTACTTTAAAAAATACATTTATGTCATCATTGTTTTTCAGCTTTGTTTTAAAAATCAGAAATCACGGAAAAGTTAGCTGATGTTTACCAAATAAATACCCTAGAGAGACAAAGTCTAACCATCTCCTGATGCCAAACCAAGTATACATTTTGTTCCAGCAATCTATTTCCAAGGTTGCTATTTCCAGACATATTTTATGCAGTTTTTTGTTTGTTTGTTTGTTTGTTTTGGTCAAAGGGTGTGTGGATTCATGAGAGAGACAGAGAGAGGGGCAAAGAACCACTCAAATGAGGTGTGGTCCCTCTGCAATCTGGTTTCCATTTCTCCATCATTTTCGAATTTGGAGCACACAGAAACACGGACCTGGCATGTTTTTCAAGAAGCCAAGGCTGGGACTTGAACCATGCATGGTCAGCCATGTGGTATCCAGCTCCCTTAACTACTAGGCTGTGAGGGCCATTTCTATTGCTGCTATTCCTAATGCCATTTCAGAACCTTGTTTTCTTTTCTCCTTACCACCAAAATATCTGTACTGTATCAGTAATGCCATCTCGGGGCAATGCAATAACACACTGTTCAAATGAAACTGGATCCACACCGAAGATTGTGGATCTGTTTTTCAGTTGACTGACATATGCCAGGCATGTGTCATGCCCATGATGCTGGTTGGCTCAGAGGACTGTGGTGGGGAGATTGCAGCATGAGGCTCTATTGAGGATCCTTGTCTTTCTCTTTCTCTTTCTGTCTCGTGAAAGAAAGGAACTAGAAAGAAGAGAGAGTGAGAGGGAGGAAGGAAGGATGATAGGGAGGAAGACAGGCTCAACAGAGCGTGGAACAGTAAATGGGTTAACTGGTAAGTACCAGCAGAGATTGACCTCACCTCATGGTGAGGTGCTTAGACTAGTGAAACATGAAAGAATAAGAACTGTCTTCTTGGTCATAATTATATTAACCCTTTCATAACACAAGAGCATAGAGTTTACATTTTATAACTGGGACTGTAAGAGGTTAATAATTTTTATTTTTACATCTTTCCCAATATAATCAGCGTATCTTCCAGTTCTGAAAATTTGCTTCATTTTTCACTAGCTATCAGAGGTTTGCAATCTTCACAAGCATAATGACTACCAACATGATGAACACTTGAATAAGGAAAACTGAATTTCCCTTTGCTTGTTCCAACTTTGACTTGGGAGAAGACAGAAAGTTTTCTTATTAGGCATTGTTTATGTTCGGGTGTTCAGATGAAGCAGGCTAGTAAATCTGTCAGAGAAAAATTTGTATTTCTCAGGAGATTGAAGGTTAATGACAGCCAGCATCCCATCAAAGAATATGAATATATACATGTACACATATTTGAAACGCTTCAGTTCTGTTTCTAGCATTTTAAGCTTCAGTTCATGTGCTTGTTGACATATGAGTGTCTTCCTTTCCAAACAGATTGAAAAACAAATTGTGAAATCACACAACACAAGAATCATTGCATCACTCTACTCCCCGCCTCAACACCCCCTCCCACTTTCTGTCTCAGACGATTTCCTAACAGCTGAGAGCATCACCAGTATGACTTGACGTTAAAAAAGACTCACATGTTTTTTAAGCTTCTAAAGTACTTAACCTTAAAAATTTTATATGGAATAAATTTACCACTGAAAGTTCATTTCAAATATGTTTATGTCTTATTCCACCTCCAGCACAATTGAAAGGAACAATATTGTTTTGTCATTAAAACAATACAAAGATCAGACCAGAGGAGGTTAAGGAGCCTAGATCTCACATGGCCGACTGTGCAGTTCAATCCTGGACCTGGTGGCTTGAAAATCACATCAGGCATGTGAGCATGCGTGCCCAAAATCCTGAGAGGAGAATGGAGGAGACAGACTTGTGGTGTTGTTATCATTATTATTATTGACTTTGATCATTAGAGATAAGTACTCAGCATATTGAAACAATTGATAACTATTTATTGAATGGATGACCCAATCAATCAATTAATCAAGAAACAAAAATTGCTAATTAAAGAAGAGTCACTTTGTTCTTGTTTTACAGTGTGAAAACAGCACCTGATAACTAGCTATATTTAATTAATTTTCTTTCAGACCCTTCTTTGCTAAAACTTTACTTATCTTCCATCTCTGCTGCTTCGAGTCAGTGAGGCGAGATGTTCAGCTTTGGGTTGACTTCCTTCCTGTTTCTGGGTGTCATCTATATATGCCCTTTCAGCTAGTATAATCGTTCTGAAAGTGCTCGTTGACTGTGAAAGCTTGAAAGCTCTTTATTTTTGAAGGGATGAGAGGGATGGCTTTCATTGTGTCTCATTTAGTGACTGAGATGTGACATGCTAAGCAAAGCCTTTAGCTTCAGGCTGCCTTTGTTTATCTATCCAAAAAAAGAAAATGACGACAATCACCAGTCTGGAATGGAAGTGATTGTCAAGGATTTCGTGGTCCACATGGAGAAGGTAACATTTTCGTCATGACATATTACAGATGTTTCTCTTGGATGAATTGGGTATTCGGGTACTGGAGGACTTTCAGAGATGCTGAGGAAAAAAACAAAACAAAACAAAACAAAGCAAAATTAGAGATAGGCTTATAGATTTTAATAATCACATGTTTTCTTAAAGGATTAACTTTACATATGATTATTCTTTCATCTACGATCACAGATTAGAGACTGTTTGCTCCGTGTTTCTCAATCAGGGTATGCCCATACTTCCCTATGGAATCTTCTAAGTCTACACATGCCCTCATCCCATATTATTTTCCCTTGGTTAAGAACCAGGGATCGGACCAGCAGTTAGCGTAATGGCTATGTCACTGGATTCCCACATAGTCGACCGCAGTTCGAGTCCCACACCCAGTGGCTTAAACTCACACAGGGCGTGTGTGTGTGTTTGCCCAAGATCCCGAGAGGAGAATGGAGGAGAAGGGATTGCGGCGTGGCCATTCCCACTGGGGGGTGATTTTTCGCTATCTCTCTGTCTGTCTCTGTCTGTCTGGAGAGCACACACACCTTACAGCAAAAACCTCTCCAAGTAAATAAATAAATAAATGGGGAAAAAAATAAAAAAGAACCAGGGATCGTTGGGGCCAGCACGTGGCAGAGTGGTTGGGGTACTGGACTCTCATATGGTTGACCATGATTTAACTCCTGGACCCAGTGGCTTGAAACTCACAGCAGGTGCATATGTGTTCATACCCAAAATCCCAAGGGGAGAAGGAAGGTGCTGAGGCCATCCTACCTGAGGGATAATTTCTTGCTTTCCATCTCTTTCTGTCTCTCTGGTTAGCACACATTCCCCAAAGCAAAAATCTCTCAAAAACAAAACAAAAAGTCAAAAATGAGGACCAACCTCTTTCCTTTTTTATGGAATAGAACAGAATAGCTACTAAATGTAGTATCAGGACAAAAATCCTTACCTTCTGACATACCCCGATGGGGTTTTGTTCCTGAATGATATGAAGTCTTTAATATAGATATATGAATATATGATATATGAATATCTATATCTATATAGATTTTTGCTGTAGGCCATGGGTACTCACCATAGAGACAGAGAGAGACAGAGAGACAGAAAGTGAGAAATTATCCTCCAGGGAGGTGGCCATGCCACAATCCTTTCTCTTCCATTCTCCTCTAAGGATTTTGGGCACACACGCACTCATGACCAGCATGAGTTTTAAGCCGCTGGGTCTGGGACTTGAACCACTGTTGACTATGTAGGAATCCAGTGATGTAACCATTATGTCATCTGCTGATCCCAGTATCGATGTATTTTAAGGTAACTTTCTATATACAACTTTGCAGTAATCATTGACAGTTAATCTGTACTACTTCACAGTGTGTAACTGTTTTTTCCCTTTTCTATTTCTTATCTAATCTAGAAAACCTTCTGAGATTCATCTTGTTGGAGATAAATTCCACCCCTCATAAATTTTCAAAGCACATTTAACCTATATTAGAGCATTCATCAATCAATACGGTCCTGTCCTAAAGAACTTTGACTTCCTTACCCTCGTTCTCTTGGCCATAAACTCCTGGAGATAGAAAAATCAATATGCTTACTGTCTTTAAAAAAAAAAATAGGGGCCAGCATGGTGTAGCGGTTATGTCTACACCATATTGGACTCCCACAAACTGCAGTTTGAGTCCCGGACTGGTGGCTTGAGACTCATGCCGACCACATGTACATGTGTGTCCAAGATCCTGGAAGAAAATGAGGAGAATGGACTATGGCATGGGCATTCCCCCAGGGGATAATTTCTCGTTTTCCTCTAACTATCTCTGTTCCCCCACCCCCGCCACCATCTCACAGGCCCAAAGGCAAACTCCTCTAAATAAATACATAACAATTTTAAAAAGTTAATGTGAGGGCAATGGGTTAGACTTCTGGGTTTCAAACTTTAGCAAGCTTTAAAATTACAACTTTTGTATCAGTGGGTCTGGGGTAGGAGCAAAATTTGTATTTCTAACAAATTCTCAGGTGGTGTCATTTTGAGAAAAATGCTTCCATGTGGTGTCTAATATTTGCTACTACCCAGACAAGTAGGTTTTACTATGCTCATTTTCAAAGAAGTCATACAGCTAGTAAGTGAGAGAGACAAAATTAAGAACTCCATCTCTTGACGCTTAGTGCTTTGGTCTTTCCCCTCATCTTGGTTTCTCTTAGACATCATAAGCTCTCAATAAATGTATAGGAGAGTTGCTGGATGGTGGGCAGTGGTAAAACGTGACACTGAGCCACATGGGTGGTTGCCAGTCCACACCCACAGATTTCCCTGAACACACCAAAAGCATGCGTGCCCATGATCAGACTGGTTGAGGCTGGGGGACCTGGTCAGGGAAGCAGCACCTTGGTTTCTCTCACTCTGTCCCTGTCTCTTTACTCACGGAATAAATGAATAAAGTTAAAAATATATATAGAGAGAAATATACACAAGCAATTAATGAATTATTAGACTAGAGATAGGCCTACATTGTGATCTAGGGCAAATTACTTAACTGCCCTAACCCCATGTCTCTATTTTCACATCTGTGAATTGGGAATTAGCAATATTTACATGCAGAACGCATTGTAGTTGGCTCCTCCAAACTTAACCTAGTCCTCTTCCATAGCATAACAAGCAATGAGGGTCAGGGAACTGCCCTAGCTTTAGGAGGCAATTCAAATTTATCCAAAATTAAGATAATTCTAATCATCTGGATTTAGGGAGATGAGTCTTATTTTATTCTGGAAATTATTTGGGGTGGCAGAGGGTATAGCAGTTATTTTGCTGGACTCCCACATGGCCGACCGCAGTTCAAGTCCCAAACCTGGTGGCTTAAAGCTCACGCCGGAAGCTCCAAGATCCCAGGAGGAGAGTGGAGAAGAGGTTACACTGGGTGTGGCCATCCTCTCTCAGGAGTGATTTCTCACCTTCCTTCTCACTGTCTCTGACTCTCTGGCTGAGTGCACGTGTTCTAAGGCAAAAACCTCTGCCTCCCCCCAAAATTATTTATTTTAAAATTTGTGATAGGGCTTGCGTACTCACCATAGAGAGACAGAGACAGAGAGAGAGAGAGAAAGTGAGAAGGTAACCCACCAGGTCTAGGACTCAAACTGTGTTTGGCCATGTGGGAGTTCAACACCTTAATCACTCCACCATCTACTGGCCCACTGAGTCTTAGTTATTAATAATTATGCAATAATATCTCTTCCCACCCCTCAGTAGCTACTATTTCAAAAATAAGTTACCAGCTAAACTTATAAGGGGAAGAAAACATTTTTTTCATTTTTTTGTAGAGGTGCCCTTTCCTTTGCTAAGTATAAATAAGGAAGTAGTTTCCATACTAGTGGCCATTCCACAGGGAAAAATCGGTGTCAGGAGGAATCCAACACTGGACAGAGATATAAATATATATTTTATATATACGTGTATATATATATATATATATATATCTTATATTACAATATTTCCTATATTATAATGTGTGTGTGTGTGTGTGTGTGTGTGTGAGTGTGTGTGTGTGTGTGGACAGAGATAGAAACTGGGGATCTGGTAGCAATACAGACACACTGGATTAGTCAACCAGTCCAGAAGCTGCCTTCTCTCTAGACCTCAGCTATATGAGCCAACAAATGCCTCTATTGTTTTAGTCAGTTAATTTTTTTCCTGTAACTTTATTTTTTTTTTGAAAGGTTTTTGCTATATGGTGTGTGTGCTTGCCAGAAAGACAAAGAGACAGAAAGACAAAAAGCAAGAAATCACCCCCCCCAGGGAGGGGATGGTTACGCCTCAATCCCTTCTCCTCCATTCTCCTCTCGGGATCCTGGGCATGCATGCACACGTGCCCAGCGTGAGTTTAAGCTACTGGGTCTGGGACTCAAACTGCTGTTGACTACATGGGAATCCAATGACGTAGACATTACGCCAACTGCTGGTCCCTCCCTGTAACTTATATTCAACACTCTGATATCCTATGACAAAGGATTAGTGTAAGAACTAAATGAATCCATGCATAAAGTAGCCATAGCACATAATGACTTACAAAATGTGAACTAATAGTGCTATCAGAAAACTTAACTATACTCAAATAAATATATATTATTGATGGTTAGAGTCTGGTCTCCTATCAGATTATTTTTTCTCTCTTAAGAACACGAGTGACCTTAGGTGACCTGAAATGCCATTGTTAGCTCCTGACTAAATGCTGCCTGGAGGTGTTCTCACCAGCAGGATGAGAGAAGCCAAACAACCAGGTAAATATCTCTGTCAGTGATGGAGAACTTGGCTGTAACAGGAAAAAGACTGTTCTGGAATTTGTGGAATCATGGAACAGATAGAGTTTAAACTTAAGAAAGGAATTCACAAAATATGTCAGAGGTATTGATGTCACAAGTCCCCAGCTGAAGACACTAAGGCTTAGAGTAAGTGAGTCGCCCCACGTCTCATTGCAGAGATGGGCCTTGTCCAAGCCCAGGGCTCATATTACCAGCAGTGGACGTCTGTTCTCTTGGCTGTCCAACAGGCCACCTTTCCCTTCAGGGCACTGTTCCTCCACTACATAGAACATGTGATTTGGGGGGAGACTGCCAAAAATATTCCATTTCTTTTTTTCCACTAAGCCTGCATAAAATGATTTTTTTGAATAATTACATTTATAGTCATTGCTTCACGCATAAACATATCAAAATTAAAGTTTTAGACGGAAGAAAGAAAGGATAAGTAGGAGATACTGATTTTCTAAAGTCAATAGTCTCATTATATCTTTTAGGGTCTGGAATACATTGATCGGTGTATTAGATGAAAATGTCATGAGCATTGGCTAGGGGTAGAGGGAATAAATCCATTTGAGATTAAAAAGCAAAACAAAACATCATTTGAGGAGTGACTATTCAGAGGAAGAAGCTTGCAGATTGTCAGCGTATTCCCTGGACTCTGGTGTGTGTATGTGGGAAAGAGGGGGGTCTTGGTGGTGGTGGTGTGTCATTGTCTCATTCTTGGCACTCGGTCAGTGCTCAAGAAAACCAGATTGAAAATTTGGAATCTGTGCTTCAGTGGATTTAAACTGGCCTCCAGTCACTAAGGAAAAATCAAAACAAAACACACAAGAATTTAGAGACAAGGTTTCTCTGCCAAATAATAATTTTTCCTTGATGTTATTTCTCATTTGGGCCAATATTCCAATGGAAAAAAATAGATCAATTGGTCAAGAGTTCAATATGATTTTCTGTGACATTCGACCTAAAGTAATAAAAAAAATTAGTGACAGAAAATTGTATCCTCTCCTGATGAAGGTGTGGCTATTTGCCTCACACAGAATAGTTAAAAGAAAAAAGTAGAGAAAGAGAGTACTGTAATGGTATTTTGTTTTACTTGCAATGTTAATGCTCAAACGAATTTACTTATGCAATAAATATTTGTTAAGCACCCACTATATGCCAGATGTAGACATTTGGGATTCATCAACGAACAAAACAAAAACAGTTAGAAAATTGTACATGCAGATGAGGGCTTAAAATATCGTTGGGCTTCTGAGACTCTTTTGTGAACCAATTTATTTGTTGGCTGCCCTTGCGTCCATAGTTCTTGGTTTAACAGCTGTGGTAATGCCTCGATTTTGAAAACACCAGTCCAGATCTGTCCTTTGTTGAACCAAATGAGATGATAAGTAAGAAGAACTGGAGAAGCTAAGAGGATGTTACATTGATCTTGGTGATCTTTGCTAGATATCAGTGAGGAAGCAGGTTCCTTGCCGGGGTAATAGGGAAGACCCAGGGGAAGAAAAGCGTCATTCAAGTGAGGAAGAGTTACTGTGAAGGAAGATATTGGAATTTCTACAGTGCAACTCTGGGGCAGCAGTCAAATGCTATGTTCTGTGAGAAACGACCAACCTGGGAAAGTTCCAGTTCTCATCTGGAGACTTCCCTGAACACCCAGGCGTTCCTGTGTCCATGATCTGGGGCTGGCTAGGGCTGAGGGTGGATTGTGGCATTGAGATTGTGTTGGGGATGCTGTCTCTCTCTCTTTCTCTCTCATTCACCTGTGGAAGAAACAAATAAATAAACTTTTAAAAAGTGGAACTCTAATAGAAGGTGGTCAAAGATTCAAATAAGACATTAAATCATCTTTGGGGTGCAAGGTACCATATAAACATCTCAGCAGTACTTTTGAAACCATCGCCAACACTCGATAATATTTTTGGTGGGGATTCTTTTCTGACTTCTCACACTCCTCTTATTCACTTCTTTTTCTTTGCATCGTTTCCATGTCAAGTGTGTAGAGAATAGTCTTAGAGCAAGGGCAAGAAAAATAGTCTTATTTGGGTTACATATCATCTTTTAAAAATATCTAATATTAGGGGCCAGCAGATGGGATAGTAGTTGTGCTCCTGGATCCCCATATGGTTGACTGTGGTTCCAGTCCCAAACCCAATGGCTTGAAAATCATGCCAGGTGCATGGGCATGTGTGGCCAAGATCTTGGAAGGAGAATGGAGAAGAAGGGATTTGTGGCATGGCCATCACCCTGGGGGGACGATTTCTCACTTTTCCTCTCACTGTCTCTGTCTCTGTCTCTCTCCGGTGAACACACATGCCCTAAGGCAAGCACCTCTTAAAAAAATGTAATGCTATAATATAAATTTATGTTTAGAATAAATATTGCTCTTGTAAATTAATTTGGGTAAGTATTTTGTATTTTTTTTTTTTTTAGATTTTTGCCATAGGGCAAATGTGCTTGCCAGATAGAGAGACAGAGAGATACAGTGAGAGGGAAAGTGAGAACCATCCCCTGGGGAGGATGGCCATGCCTCAATCCTTCTCCTCCATTCTCCTCTGGGAGTTTGAGCATACATGCCCTTGAAGTCACAGCAGGTCTGGAACTCAAACCATTGAGTCAGCTATGTGGGAGTTCAGTGCTTTAACTACTATGCTACCTTCTGGCCCCAAAGATAAGTACTTTGTACACATTGTTAGTAACTTAGACAATATTGTCTTGACAGGAGATTTCAACTGGAGGTCGGTCAATTTAAGATTGTTACATCTGTCAAAAGAGCAGGGCTTTAAAAAGGTTTATGTATACCAAGCTACAGAATTCTATCATGAAACATAAGGGCCACTGGTCATACCTTGGTAAAACTGCTGACCTTATCAGGTGTAACCTAAGTTACAGTAGTAGAAGTGGTAATAATAATGGTAAAAGAAGTAACAGTGGTCCAGCAGATGGTGTGGAGGTTAAGCCAGCTGAAGCCTACATGGCTGACTATGCAGTTTGAGTCCTGGGCCTGGAGGCATGAAAAATATGCATGTGAGGGACCAGCAGATTGAGAATGGTGTGTCATTGGACTCCCATGTAGCTGACCATGTTTCGAGTCCCAGACACGGTGGCTTAAAACTCAGACAGAGTGCATGCACCTGTGTGTCCAAAATTCCAAAAAGAGAATGGAGGAGAAAGGATTGCGATGGGGCCATCCCCCCTGGGGGGGTGATTTCCCCTTTCTGTCTCTCTGGCAAGTGCTCACACCCGATAACAAAAATCTCTCTAAGAAGAAACAAAGAAATGAAAAATATGCATGTGTGTGTGTGTGTGTTCATGCCCAAAATCCTGAGAGGAAAAGGAATCACAGTATGGCCATCCTCCTGGTGGGGGGTATTTCTAACTGCCCCCCCCCATCTCTGGTAAACATATACTCCATAAAACAAAAACAAACAAACAAACAAACAAAAGTAGTGATGATTTCTGTGTACAACAAACTTACTATGTGCCAAGAACCATGATAGATAGCATTACATTGATTCTCACAACTCTTGTAAGAGGTGAGTAACTTACTTTCTCAACGTTACACAGATTTGCAGCCCTTGTCTGACCTGTCTGCTTGGTATGGGCCATCAAAGGAATAATAGAAGATGCCTTGTTACTAGGGATTCTGATCCATGCTGATCCGTTCTGAGCCATTCTTACTCTCAAGAGTGGTCATCAAACCTTCTAGTGATGCTCTAATCTCAGAGTGAATTTCCATGGCTCCAGAACGTCCCTGGTTAATAGACCACATGTGTCCTTGAAGCACTGCAGACTCTCCAGATCCAACCATGAGGAGAAACTAATCTGTGCGTGGATGTCCTTACAGAAAAAAACACAATTCACTCTATTTCATTTTCATTTGCAAACACAACAAAAAACAATACTGAGATGACTTCCCCTTCTTTCCTCTGCCTCTCCCTCCCGCCTTCCTTCCCTCCTCGTATCTGTCCAACAAACAAGTATTTAACTCCTTCGTGCATGGGCAGGTGCTAGGTGCTGGGACTGCGTGGCGAGCACAGGAGGACCCTGTCTCTTGGGGGAAAGGTATAATTCCTATACAACGCAGAACACAAGCACTGTGAGGTCAGGAGCGTATCACCTACCCCATCCTAGCATAGAACATGGCAATAAAGCATGCTCAGAAAGCATGATGCTTGGGTGATGGCAAGTTTAGCGCCGCTTCCCTGATTAAAGGGTACTCTTGAAGCCTCCTCTGGTTAATGCCACCCTCCAGGCTGCCCAAATTGCCCTCAGGAAAAACAGAGCTCGTGTACATTCAGATCTTAACAGTGGTTGTCTATAATACATCCCTTATGAAAAAGTACGGATATTCAGGTTGAGAAATGATACACTTGGTTTGCAAATAACACATGTTCATTTTCATGTTGCTAAAGACTCCTTGCTAGGAAACGAACACTTGTAATTTAATACGAAGTGTTCTCAGGAGTCTGAGGCCAAGCCACCTCAAGCTGTGAATGCCTTGGCTCTGCTCACCAGTCAGGGTCAGGGCAGGGCAGTCCTTGGCCTGATGCCCCTCAGAATAAACCAAACAGCGGCAGGAAGTGGTTTCCATGATTCAGGAGGTGGCACACTTCCTTTTGAGTCAGAACTGAATCACAGCTGCGAGAGGCCAAAAGGACCTAGTTCTTTATCCCATACTTTTCCCTAGTCCCAATAGTTAATTCATTACAGCCTGTCATATGATATATCCTGTTTAGTTTAGCATGTTTAACCAAAAAAGAAAAAAATAGAAAAAAAGTAGCAAGTCAACTATGAGGAAGCAAGATGGGAGAGGGAAACACGGCAGATTAAAATGGACCCAGACACCCTTCTTTCATTTGGGGCCATGTTCTTCGAGAAGAGTGAAGGAACGGTCATGTTCTGATTTCACTGGGGCCACAGAAGCCCTGGGGTCTCTCACTCGACCCTGACCCATTTCCAGGGAAGCAGTAAGATCACACTTACGTAAACCCCAGTGCTTTAAATGGCCTGCCCTCCTCTTCACTTGCTGACCCTGGCTCACTCCCCGCTGTCTGCTGGAAGGCTGTCCTCAGCACTGCCCCAGGCATCGCCCCGGTCCACC